GTGCCCAAGATCTCCTACAAACATCTTGACACGGATGTAGGTCTACCCAGGTCGACCATTCCGGCGACTGGATCCGTTGAAATCTGAGTCGGTTCCGGTACAGCTCTTCTCGATTCCGGCACAGTTCTCACCGGTTCCGGCAGGTTCCTTGCCGCCGGATTCCGGCCGCAATTGCACAGAAAATATCCGATCAGTTCCTGACCGTTTCCAGCTCGAAGTTTGCAGGAAATGACTAGAACCTACGTTTGAACTTCCGGCCGAAACCGACCGTGCCATAATAACCTGGGTAGGAATAGGAAAAGATTTAGTTTGAGGTAAATATAACATCAAGGTGCTGTGGTTTTTGATTTTACGAAAAATTCAAAATCCACTTAATACTATATCAGTCAAATCGGTACACAGCACCGCAGTAATGCACTTAGCACTTCCACAAAAACCAATAGACATCAATGAACCCTAACTTCACCTTATTCATCAGACCCATATACAGGGATTTCGGAAATGCAACAACATAATTATTTATTCAAACACAGAGTCGTACCAGACAGCGAAGTATTGATCTTATTCATCATATATATTCCCTTTTCTGAAAGAAAGGGTTATAGCCGCGTTAAAACTGGTTAAAGTTTGTTTGTCCAAACCAATCAGATTGTAGCATTTCATAAATCAATGAAAACTTCACGATGCTCCTTACGAAGTGATTGTTGCAAGGTAATCGAGGTCGAGGATCTCGAATCTGAGGTTAGTTTCTCGAAATTTCAACTAGCTAATTACTAATTAAGAAATGAAAAATTTTCTGGCTGTCGAGTAAGGGTTGACCCGAAGGGTAATCTGTTCCCAAGATCTGTAATCTGTTGTTAGTTTTTCAATAAAAAATCTTGTTTTGTCTTTTAGACAAAGGTCGATTTTTTGCAAGAAAGTCTCTTTAGGCGATAGTGTTTGAAGCAGCAATATGTAGAACTGAAACGAAATAGCTGATTAACATCGGACTGTTGGATATTCATACACATCAGCACATTGGTAACATCACGATTATGCAAACAGTTATATTACACAAACATTATCTGATACTAACCACTCAAAGTAATACTTCCTCTGACAAATTTTGCTTTGGACCGTCACAACGGCACAGAGTTGGCGATTCTTCAGCAGGGAATGGAAGGAAACGGTTAGATTCATTCTAAAGGCAATTCTAAACAAGATAAAAGAATGAAAGTGGGACATTAATGGCTAGCCGTGAGTGGCCGACCGGAGGCAGGCCGACGAACAACTAGGCGTTTATTTGAATTGCTTAGAGGAGATAAAATAAGTGAAAATAAACTCATCTTTTTATTCGCCGTCGTTTGAAGAGAGTCGATGAATACATTTTTATAAACGGTGTTCGTTTTGTTTACGTCTTTGGACAAATGAATTGAAAGTCATCTGACATTAATGAAGCAGAAAATGAAAGAATGAGCATAAAAGTGACTTCAATTCGAAGCCAATTATATTGAGATCTAAGTGAGAGCGTTTATCTACTAGTTTTCTGATACTTTCAGCAAAGGGTCAGTGAATCCAACGGATGAGCGCTAGTTGTGATAATATAGGCATAGGATAAAAAGAGGTATATGCGATATTCCCCCATGTCGAAAAGTACGGGCTGACTCCGGAAGGAAGACACCGGAAATCAGTGGAAAGTGGAAGCAGGAATCCTTCGAACGGATCCGGCTCACGTAATTATTCGGTTCTCTCCGGAGCTGGAAGGAACCAGGCAAAGACGGCCGCAGGATCCGGCTAAAGGATTCCTGCTGGAATTACACGGATCCGGGAGCCGGAATCATTGCCCTGGGCCGGTATAAGCGGCATAGCCAGGATTTCCAGGCCAGTGGGCAAAAATAGCTAAAGCCGAAAGAAGAAGGATTTGATAATGAATGTAGAAAAAGGTGATCGAATTCTAAGGAGACTCCTGATGAACTTTTCGTGTTTTTTTGAGCCACACAGGTCTCAAGATTTGTCAGTAGCGCATCATGTTCTTGACCGCGAAATACAGCATCATCACGTATATACGAAAAGTTTTCATGAGAGTTAAAATTTGAAAAGAGTGAAAGTTTAGTGGGCAAAGGCCCATCAATCCACAATTACAGTGGGCAACTGCCCATTTGCCACCCGCTGGTTACGCCACTGCTAGCCCAGGATGTAGCGTAGTATAGAGGGTAAATGCGGTATAGTAGTTTACTTCTATGCATCCTGTGCTAGTATACCACTAACCCTATTATGCAATTTCAACTGCACTTCATAGTTGAACAAACAGAGTCTTCCTATATTTTGATTTCGTCAAAAATTAGAAATTAGCTAAAAGAGTTAATTTGCCGTAAAATCATATTCCCCAACTTATGCATCAGAGTATAGGTGTAGGTGAAACAAAATCTATTCCTGTTCCTATCCATTCGTTGACTTTAAGACTGATATATATATCTACTTATATTCAAATGGATATTAGCCTTTGTGGGTCGACTTAGGCAACTCATGTTCTGCTCACGCACGTATTGCATCACCTACTCACCGAGAATTTTTGAACTTCCTCTCGCTCCCCGGTGGGGGTACGCCGACTTTTTTCTTGTTGGTTTTCTGGTTATGTCACTATTCTCAAGCATGAAGTGTACACGAAGAAATCAATATCCTTGAGCAGCTTTAGAACGCAAAAATCATTCAAAAATGAGTTAATGCACTCTGATGCGCTAATCCCGCGGAAAAAGCAAAATGAAATCTCTTTCAAACAGTGCTTGAAGTACCACTAAAGTACTTCGTGGCTAAAGTCCTGCTTCTTTCCTCGTTTCCATGAATAACCACGATTTTCGTTTCTTCTGCCAGATTCCTTTTAAGTTTTCTCTCGAAAAGCTTCTCTTCTTGTTTGCTAAACGCTCATATTTAATGATGTTTGGATTTTTTTCCGAAAGAAGAAAAAACGTATTTATATGCTAACACAGCTTTTTCTCAGAAGAAATAGAAGAGAAGTGAATTAGTTTGACTTTGAGAAATTTTGCCAGAGGAAACGCAATATACTATTTTACTCTGTCGATCTTAGCAGTCGCCCATTCCTGTATTCAACTTTATAGAATAGAGTCTATCCTCGTGAATCTACACCACACAAACGTTAAAAAAATGGTAGCGAACTTCCGATGTAGATGATCTATCAGTCTGCTTTCTGATGCTTAGCTACTTGAATAATCTTCGCTGAATAATTCAATAGTACCTTCTAGATCATGGAAAAGCTTGCTAAAGCAACTTTCATCTGGTACGATCAATTGATCTCACTGTCTAGCACTTATCAAGCATTAAAAGATGCACTTTCCAGAAGCTACTTGGATCTTACATGCAAGCATGGAGCATCTCACAACTGTACCAATATTGATTGTCTTATAGTGGATAATACTGATATTGAACTGAACTTATCAAAAGATAGTATCGCTCAAATGAATGTCTTCAACGATGAAGACGCGTGTATTCAGTATATTCAAAAGCACGCAGGCGATCGAATATTCTTTGTTGCACCGAACGCAGCAGCTTCTCGTTTAGTACCAAGAATTATCAGAGATTGTCCGAAAGCGTTTCAGAAAGCTAACCACCAGTCTCCGGCTTCAATTTATATACTTTGTTCGAATTCTTTCGAGACGACAGAATGGACAAGTGACTACGAAAAATACATACAATTATTTACGTATGAAACTAGTCTTTTGATTCAATTTATGCGCGATGTTGGCACCTATTTCTTCAATCTTGGCGAAAGACATTCTGTATATAACACATCAGCATCACTTTCTCAATCGATTGCGTTCCTCACAACAGCTAAACATTTATTTACTCAATGTGACAAGCATGAGCACGCGAAAGTATATAGCCAACATGTGCAACGAATAGACAGCCGAATCGCTGAAATCAAGCATCAACTTCAACAGATAACAGAAGACAATAATAATGACGACATAGAATTCCGTCTTCCATATTTAGAAGAGGAGGATTCTGGTACCGACAGTGCAGAATATATATCACCGCTTTCTTCTCCAATTTTTGATGACATCGAGACTTGTTTTCCCACATCAGACGATGAGAACATCGTACTAGCAGCCGTTAATTCAACAACAACTTTGCCGTGCAATGAAATTATAACGAAAAGTCATGACAATGCTTCAGACATTCGTATTGTTCTTATAATACCATCGCATGGCACGACGAACTCTGAAACTATTACATCATTGCTGAAGAATGTTTTCGACGACGAACACTTGGCGATTGTATCTCAGCAGGAATATTCTAAACAGTTGGACGAGGCACAAATATCTGGAATCGTTTTCATAACCTCTGAAGGAGATGACTCAATATTAGAGCACATATGCTCGTTGAATTCCAAGCATACGATCTATGTTCTAGAAGGACAAGCCAATGATCCAAAGACGAGACAAGAGTTTTTGACCAAATATTCCCGTATATCATTTATGTCGGATGATCCCGATCAACTGACCATCAATATAATTNGATTGTTTTGGAAGAATGGTGAGTCTACTGGCAATATATTTTACTTCTAATGAAGACAGATATTCCGAAGATCAAATTCTTCAAACATCTAAGATAATGTCTCGTAAAAAGCAGACGTTATGTTCCATGTATTCACATTTAAATACGGATGTTCGAATAGACGATCTGAAGAATATCTCAGTAAATACATATCGATGCAAAATATATAATAACTTGATCGTATAAAATAAATTTATCTGTATGTCGAATATTTTCTACAAAGTATCTTATCAGTGAATGTAGACATGAAAAAGCATTGTTTTATAGCTATATTTGTTACAATTTTATTATTTAGAACCGTTGAATTTTCATCTTTTAGTACTGTGATTCCTACTGGACAACACATCATGTTATCTTATAATATCAATGATAAAGAAATCGTATTTCAAATTAACGAGTTTTTACGAAATCAAGAGATGCCAGTTTGGATCAACCGATCAGAAAATGTCACCGCAGATAGCCTACACGATAGGTATACGTGTTTCAAATTATATATTCTGTCTCTCTACATTCTTTCTTTCAACTACATTATTCTTTTAGTTTGGCTAATGGAGTAGAGAACGCTGCAGCAGTTTTTTGTTTTTTAACGCCAGATTATGAAAGGTCACCAGTTTGTAAACTTGAACTACAATATGCACATAAACGGAGAAAACTACTTATCCCGTGTTTGTTCGACGACAAAGTATTCTGGGACGATTCTTCTTGGTTAATGACAGTAGTTGGATCTCTTCACTGTTATAATATCAATGATATTCAGGATAGGGACAACATGTATTTAGAAGATTTGATCAATGATTTGAACCAAAAACGGTTTTCATCGAAGCACGTCTTAACAGAATCACTTGGTCCACCAAATTATCTTTTCGAATTAATTAAATACAGATATCTATGTGACAACAAAATAGAACGCTTAATGAATCCATCGGAAACGTTTCCAATCGACCAGATCTATATCAATTTGGCTATAGTAGAAACGAAAGAAACTCAAGAAAAAGAAAAGAAACTCGATAATACTCAGAGCATTGATGCAGTTATGGGTGCATGCGAGCAAATTTATGGAAGTGAATCTCCAATTGATGTCAAAGATGTTTTCACGAAATGCAAAGATCAAAACAGAAATATTTTAGTTTTTGGTCGAGCTGGTATTGGAAAATCAACATTTTGTCGATATGCTGCTTATCAATGGGCAACTGGTGCAATATGGTCCGAATATGAATTAGTTGCGCTCGTTCCTTTACGATCTCTAACAGGACCAAAATATCGAGAAGACAAAGATTATTCTCTCATCGACATTCTGATAAATCAATATTGCTCTGATCCATTCTGGTCAGATGAACAAAAGAATAAGCTTGTAGAAAAGCTTGTAGAACAGATTCGTAGAAGTAAAATTCTGTGGCTGTTGGATGGTTATGATGAAATAGCACAAGACCCACCTCGACATCTCCAAATCTTACTTGAACAGCTGCGCAAAACTCCGCATCACATCATTACATCTCGTCCATATATGAATACATTATCGTATTCGGTGAAGATGGAAATTACAGGGTTTACAGATGAAAACATTTCCAACTATATTAAGCTGTTCTTCGATCAGTTAGGAAACTCATCGCGCGAAGATGAGAGCTTACTCAATTTTCTCCAGTTGAATCCTAAGATTTGGGGTATTGCACATATTCCAATTAACCTCGAGTTGATTTGTAGCGTGTGGAGCAATTTCAATTGGACGAAAACCCAAACAGTCACCTTGACAGTATTGTATGATAAATTAACTGAGTGGATCTGTCGTCGATACCTAGAGAAGCAAAAAAAAATCTTATCCACCGATCTTATATTCATGGACAAAAATGATGTCTATGAAGAATGTAAAATGGAACTGGTGTTCCTAGAAAGGCTCGCTTTCCTCGGAATGGAAAACAACGTTATTCTTTTAAGTCCAGCATTACTCAGGAATGCGGAAGAAAAGATAATCAAGAACTCATTTGATCGTAAAAATTTATTCAATTTTGGAATACTAAAATCATACGATTCAAATATTGGTCGTATTGGGACACACAATGAAGTACAACAAGACTACTACTTTGTCCATCTCAGCTTTCAAGAATATTTTGCAGCTCGTTACTTAGCAAACGCACTGACCAATACCACAGGCAATCAAACAATTGAGTTTATTCAGCAGCACAAATACAATCCAAGATATCAGTTACTCTTTGCATTTCTAGCTGGGCTACTGAGCGAAACACCAGATTCTGAATATAACAGCATTTTCTGGAACACATTATTTACCGAACCATCAGATATCACCCGCATGCAACACATGGCTCTTGTAATTCCCTGTCTCGATGAGATTAACAGCAACAAAACATTCATTCAAGCCCAACAATTATTCGAAATGACAACGCGATGGGTAGAAAATGCTATAACGCATCCATCCCGGAATTTACTTTCGTTTGTGACAAGCATTCTGAGATCCTGTTACACAATCTGCAACGCAACACATATTCAAGAAGCAATAGTACGATTATTGGACACTAACCAAACCACTATCATTTTAAGAACACTCGAATTTATATCGTCAATTCCACTAAACAATCCTACCAATTCGTTAAAGCGCACAGTGCTACAGAAATTACAGCATCAAGATTCGAATATAAAACACAAAGCATTGCAAGCTCTTACTTCCATGTATGAAAGAGCAGCGACGAAGGAAATAATCGATGCACTAGTCAACGGACTTTCGGACAACAATTTTGACGTGAGAGAAGAAGCATTCCACGCATTGGATCGAATGGCTAAAACAACAGCAGCGAAGCAAGTGATCGATGCACTTGTCAACGCACTTTCGGACAACAACTCTATCATGAGAGAAGCAGCATTCCTCGCATTGAGTCGAATGGGTAAAAACGGAGCGACGAAGGAAGTGATCGATGGACTTCTACAGGCATTGAAGAGCGACGGTCATCGTATGAGAAGTAGTGCATGTGAAGCACTTGGTCGTATGGGTCAAAACGAAGCGACGAAGGAAGTGATCGATGCACTTGTCAACAGACTTTCGGACGACAATCCTAACGTGAGACGAAATGCATGCCTCGCATTGTGTCGAATGGGTCAAAAAGCAGCGACGAAGGAGGTGATCGATGCACTTGTCAACAGACTTTCGGACGACAATTTTGACGTGAGACGGAGTACACGCTTCGCATTGGATGGAATGGCTAAAACAACAGCGGCGAAGCAAGTGATCGATGCACTTGTCAACGCACTTTCGGACGACAACCCTATCATGAGAGAAGCAGCATCCCTCGCATTGAGTCGAATGGGTAAAAACGGAGCGACGAAGGAAGTGATCGATGGACTTCTACAGGCATTGAAGAGCGACGATCATCGTATGAGAAGTAGTGCATGTGAAGCACTTGGTCGAATGGATCAAAAAGCAGCGACGAAGGAGGTGATCGATGCACTTGTCAACGGACTTTCGGACGACAATTTTGACGTGAGAGAAGAAGCATTCCACGCATTGGATCGAATGGCTAAAACAATAGCGGCGAAGCAAGTGATCGATGCACTTGTCAAGGCGCTTTCGGACGACGATTCCAACGTTAGACGGCATGCATGCGAGGCACTCGGCCGAATGCGTGAAACAGCTGCGAGGAAGGAAGTGATCGATGCACTTGCGAAGGCACCCTCGGACGACGATTCTGACGTAAGACGCTATGCATGTGACACATTGGGTCGACTGGGTGTTAAAGCAGCGACGAAGGATTTGATGGGTTATAGCGTTTTCCGGGAAACCGAATTTTAGAAGATTTGCAAATAGGATTAAATGATCTTTAGATATACCTTCCATATAGGGCGGTATAAGCGGTATCGGCGGTATAACATACTATTATCTCATTGAGGGTGCTGCGGAGGGTGATGACAGATTTTCGTTCGGTAAGCATTTGTCAGTGCACAATCGAATTAGTTTCTTTGTCAAATACTGGGAAGCTGATTAGATAAAAAGCCGCTTTTACCGTATATACCGCCTATATTGCCCTATACCGCCCTATATGAAAGATTTATCTAAAGATCATTTACTCCTGTTTGAAAATCTTGTAAAATTCAGTTTCCCGGAAAGCGCTATAACTCATCAAATCGGTACTTGAAGAACCTCCGCTGAATAATTCAATTGTGCTTTCTAGATTGTGGAAAAGCTTGGTAAACCAACTTTCATTTGGTACGATCAATTGATCCCACAGTTTAGTACTTATCAATTTTTAAAGAATGCACTCTCCAGAAGCTACTGGGATCTTACATACAAGCATGGAGTGCCTCACAACTGTACCAGTGGCGGCTGGCTTATAGTCGCTAATACTGATATAGAACTGAACTTATCAAAAGATAGTATCGCTCATACGAATGTCTTCAACGATGAAGATACATGTGTTCAGTGTATTCAAGAACACACAGGCGATCGAATGTTCTTTGTTGCACCCAACGCAGCAGCTTCTCGTTTAATACCAAGAATTTTCAGAGATTGTCCGAAAGCGTTTCAGGAAGCTAACCACCAGTCTCCGGCTTCAATTTATATACTTTGTTCGAATTCTTTCGAGACGACAGAATGGACAAGTCACTACGAAAAATACATACAATTATTTACGTATGAAACTAGTCTTTTGAATAAATTTATGCGCGATGTTGAAGCCTATTTCTTGGATCTTGGCGAAAGACATTCTGTATATAACACATCAGCATCACTTTCTCAATCGATTGCATTCCTCACAACGGCTAAACATTTATTTACTCAATATGACAAGCATGGGCACGCGAAAGTATATAGCCAACATGTGCAACGAATAGACAGCCGAATCGTTGAAGTTAAAGATCAACTTCAGAAAATATCAAAAAACAATAATGATGACGGCATAAAACTCCGTCTTTCACATTTAGAAGGGGAGGATCCTGGTACCGATAGTGCAGAATATGTATCACCGCCTTCTCCTCCAATTTGTGATGACATCGAGGCTTGTTTCCCCACATCAGACGATGAGAACATCGTACTAGCAGCCGTTAGTTCAATAACAACTTTGCCGTGCAATGAAATTATAACGGAAAGTCATGACAATGCTTCAGACATTCGTATTGTTCTTATAATACCATCGCATGGCACGACGAACTCTGAAACCATTACATCATTGCTGAAGAATGTTTTCGACGAAGACCAATTGGCGATTGTATCTCAGCAGGAATATTCTCAACAGTTGGACGAGGCACAAATATCTGGAATCGTTTTCATAACCTCTGAAGGAGATGACTCAATATTAGAGCACATATGCTCGTTGAATTCCAAGCATACGATCTATGTTCTAGAAGGACAAGCCAATGATCCAAAGACGAGACAAGAGTTTTTGACCAAATATTCCCGTATATCATTTATGTCGGATGATCCTGATCAACTGACCATCAATATAATTAATGACATTATTCTGAAAACTAGAGTTATGGGAGCACGGTATGCTGAAAAGCAAGACAAAGCTCGCGCAAATGATATGTACAATCATTCGCTTAAACTGCTGAACAGATTGAATGACTTTGTCGTGAATCGTATGAAAAACAAGCAATAATTTTATAGTGTCTACTGCACAAGACGAGTAAGCTTGGACTTTTTTCTGAAACTATCTTCCCAGTGATGGTAAGATCAAAATATATTTCTTATCATTTTCAATATTTTTCACTCTGATGAATAAAATACAAATGAACAAAAATCTCTTTGTTTCTATGCACCGCAGCGATAAATATCGAGTGTAGGAAGCTGACAGTTTCATCGCACTTTGCTCATTTTAGTTACTTAGCTAAAATAAAACACCATACTACCTATAGTATTCAAACAACGCTTCTTTCAATGTAAGTGAGATTCTTAAGAGAATTAATGCAGAGTCTGCTCACTTTTTGCTTGTATTCTAGATCAATCTCTCTTATATTTCATGAATATAGTCTATTTCATTCTTCTCCATTCGAGCGGTCGACAACCTTTACTTGAGAGCCACTTTGGCCCTAGAACTACATGTTTTGATGATGTAAACCAATGTATTCTTCATGTAAATCACCTGAGACAACAAAATGGCACACAAATTGAATTGTTTCTCCCATCGGCGAACAGTAATATCGTTGGAACATACTTACCTCTTTACGGAAATATACGTTTTCACATATATTGCTCTACTACTGATCAAATGACACAATATCAAGTCCAGTTTCCACAGCGTTATTATGTTGAAGTCTTAGAGGATGCTCACTTATGGATTTCTATTGGTCGTTCAGTGTTAGACTATGATAGTTTGCGAATGTCAAGAAACGATTATCCCGCCATTACATTGGTAGAATGGCAGAGAACGCGTGAAATAATTGACGAAGAAATTAGAGCTGCACAACTAGGTATACAACCTACATAATAAGACATGATAGATATTATTACATTGCAACTTCATGTGTTCCAAAGATGTGAATATCTCTCTCTCATAATCTAATTAAACGTCCTTTTAATTCTTTGAATTTGAGACGGAAGAAATATATATACGCTGTATATTTATATCAAAAAACGAGGTTTAGTGTTGATGACAGAGAGATATTCAGATGTTCTATTTTAGTACAATTTTGTGTTAACTTATTCTACGCTAAAGATATTTTATATACTTGACCAATAGACTAATAAAATAATTTATATTAAAATATCATCAATCACGTAAAGGTAACACTTGACGAATTGGTAAATGATAAATATTTGTCCAAACATAAGACAAGCAGACTGATGCATGAAAACAAAAGAATATTTGAAGTGGCGTAGCATGCTGGATAGTTATGCTTATTCCTTCGTTTTAATCGTTTACAGGGCAATCAGAATAAATAACGCATAAATCGTACCCTCAATAAATTCTAAACGCAGAAACCAAACAATACCGGCAATTATTGACTATGGAAGTATTTTGTCTCACCCAAAATGAGAACTACTATTTTAATGCATGCCACCCATGTTATTGTGTGAAAATGACTTAGAATGACAAAAGCACTAAAAGTCGAATACAAGTAGATGCCACTCAATGAAATGATAATGAGAACATCATCAAAACTTATATCGAATGCGAGAATTAAATATTGAAAGATCGTATTTCATACTCACATGCTGTGGTTCGACGATAAGTCAATCGACGAAGTTTTATCAACGGGCATATTGTTGCGTATAATGAAAGAGCCAATAAACGTATGTTTAAAATTTCGAGAATAGACGAGAAATCGATCATGCCAATGAAGAGACCTTTGTTCGACACATGTCAGTTCACCATTGAGCAAATGTTGAGAAAGACACATTGGGCTTTCATTGTCTGTTTATTTCCCGGATTTACAACAAAAAGATAAATAGATCACACTCACTGCTGTTGATTAGTACTAGTGCATGTCTTTCGATTTCCTTAATTTGTGATGTTGTCTCAATCAGTACCCTAGGAAACCTATCGTATGAAGCATGCAGATAAGATTTTCCCTTGTTGCGAGCTTACCAAACACATAGATTAGCATCTAAGTTATGAACAACGGCCAAGCGAGTCAGACTTTCATATGCTTGAATAATGAGCTAAAAACATAATTGTAAAGATTCGAAATGTTTAGTATTTATCTGTAAATTAGATACGTTTGAATGTTTGAAAATAAAAAAGAATTGAATGAAACTAAATAGTTATCGTGAAAGGTCATCTATTAAAGCTAGCCATCGTGCACACGGACGATGTTGTAAACTGCTTAAAATCAACAAACCTGTACGAATAGCAGTACCAAGACAAAAGACTATACGATAAGAAGTTATTGTGTCAACGTTAACACGATCCATACAATAGAAATCCATTAGAAGTAAGTAAAATAAATCTACATATAGCATCATTTTTATATGTGCAAGTGCAATTGTTTAGTTTGACATATTTACCTTAGCAAGAAGTTTGATTATTTCGACTTTTTCTTCAAATTTCACTTATCCAAACCACACAGAATACTGAAGAGTTTGTAGATATCTGTATTTTCAGCATTACTTCTAGACAGAATGAGTATCAGTCATCTATAGAAGTATTTAATTGAAGAAATTAAAAACGGTAACTTTTCCTAAAATCTTTGATTGAGCAACTCTTCTTCGTCTGTTCTGACATGTGCACCTTTTACCTCTTTCATGACTATACTATTTCGAAGAGTGTAGATTTTATCACGTCCGGTGCTTTGACTATTGAGTTTTTTATTCTTTTTCCTTATCAACATGGCATCCGTTAAGTTTCGTGAACGATACGGTTTTTGCTCACAATGTAAATTAACTACAATGTGTGAATAACGTGACAGATGCTCATCACCTTATTCTTACTCTTCTTCATCAAAGTATTTTTGAACTGAGAAAAGCGCGTTTGCTCAGTATATATTTTTGTTAGTCTGTAAGTGCCTTTGAACTGTTCCTTTTTTTAGTGAAATAATTTTATTTCAAAGACTTTTGAGAATGTCATCCAGCGGAACTGTTTTTTTCTTCAAGTATAAATGGCAAAATAATACTATTGCTTCTCACATCCTCGTTCAAAGAGTATAATGCACACAAGTATAGTACTTTCATAAAAGCTTTTCTTCCGCGTTATACAGTTTATATTTGAGTTCTTTTTTTACATTCAGTTGTCATTTGCACCAGTACGCAATATTGAAGGTTGCGCTCTTTTTCTTTCACTTTTCATCGATCTATTCACCATGTTTCTCGCACTACTGGTTCTCTTGAAATCCTGCTTAGTGCTAGCCGTCAATATTAGTCATATTCAGTATGGAATATATGTTCCACAACCGACATCCGTGGCTGTTTCATTCACGATGCAATTCTCGATCGATTGCAATGAATGCCTTTGCGCGGCTACTTCATCGAATACGACCTCATATGCAGTTGTTAACTGTCAGAAAGATACACACTGGTGTTCATTTTACAGTGTTTTGACTTCAAATTATAGTGTACAATGGAATGTTCAAGGTTCTGTTTATTTCTTACAATCATTTCCTATGCCATCAACTAGTATACCACAAACCAGTAAGTGCCTATCGCGTGCTTCTATTATCCTAGCAGAAGACTAGAAAGTGTGCTTTTGTTTAATCAATTCTTTTTCAGGTCAACCAACAACCATGTACGTTTCTACTCAAGCGCCTCTGTCGAATGTATGGATTCAAACGAACAACATGTCTGTCCCAAGAATTGGCCATACAAGTACATATATACCAGAAACAGGCAATGTTCTCATTGCAGGTGGTGAAAATCAATCGTCGTTAGAATTATTCATACCATCAAATAGATCGTTTATTACAAAAGGTAGTATGACCACTATTAGAGCGTATCACTCAGCTGATCGTCTCAATACAAATCTGGTCTTAATTGCTGGTGGTACTACTGCTGATCTATACGATCCTATAAATGAAGTGATCAACGTGACGGTAAACATGAGCAGATATCGTATACGGCAAAAGTCGTCGGTAGTTAATATATCAGGAACTGTGAAAACAATACTTTCAGGTGGTACTTATTATGCAGGATCACTAGTCTACCTATCTTCTGTTGATATATTCGATGTTCCATCGAATACGTTCACAATGAAAAACATATCAACTCCTCGATTCTATCACACATCAACAGCACTGCCAAATGGAAACATTGTCATCGCCGGTGGTAGTGATGCACCTGGTGGTAATATTCTCGATACTTTAGAAATGTACAATAGTAGCACAAATTCGTTTGTCACTCTCACACCACGAATGTCCTACGCACGATACTACTTCACAGCAACTTATATTCCGTCGATTCGATCCATTCTATTTGCCGGTGGTTATATTTCAGCAAATTTGAATTCATATGACCTGTTCAATGTGACAACAATGCAATTTGTTCGGAATGGCACTTTAAAGTATGCTCGATCTACTCACACGGCTACTCTTCTACAAGATGGACGTGTTTTACTTGCTGGCGGTTATCCACAAATGAACCAAGTGGAAATCTTTGATCCATCAACATTTACCACTTCTATAGCTGCCAACTTATCCATCGGTCGTTGTTATCATACAGCAACGCTGCTCACACATTCGAGCCAAGTTCTTGTGTGTGGTGGCCAAAACACAGTCGGTTATCTTGCAAGCTGTGAACTTTACGCTCCATAAGCATCATATAGCTGGTTTGCTGTCTATGTGTAATACAATACACGTTTTATTGTATTTTCAAGCGCTTGATGTTCTTGCTTATGAATATCTTCACAATTTCTCACAAAAATAAGATTGTAATAAATGCAATATATATATATATATACTTTCTCAATAAGAAACAAAAGTATGTCCTCATTGTTCGCACTTATTCTTTTTAAAAAAAGCATGTAAATAATAAAGTACACTCTCAAGAGAGACATTCCCTACATTGTTAACAGTATAAATTGAAACAAATATTTTTTCATTGTTTTCTAAAGTGGAAATGATGACTGGCACAACAACATCCCAATACACGTCATCTGAGTGCAATAGTTTTTCTAATCTTCTCTTATCAACAAAAAGGTCATATCTCGATGATGTAAAGAGGAACTGATAGATGTAGCTATATTCAAAAGTAATCTAATTCCTTTTTTACTGTGTAGAACAACGTATTCGTACCAAAGTATATAAAGAATCTATTTCTCAGTCACTCAGTGCAAAAAAAGAACTTCAATATCATTTGAAAATATACCGTTATGTCTAATACTCTCGTTTATCTCACCGTAATCGTGCTCGTGCTTGGAGTTAACTTGGGTATGTGAATGTTTGAGTAAACATAAATAATTCTCTCCCATAGATGTAGTCACAGCTGGCACCTGTGGATGTCCGTGGAATTCAGCACGTTGTGAAGCGAATTGCATTGGCAAGAACATTGGTGCAGTCACTGGCTCATGCCGTGGTTTTGCTTATGCACACTGCAAATGTAAAGTCAACGGCAGTTGGAAATCAATTGCTGGAAAATGTGACAATTAAACGTCCTTTTTTTTTAAACGCAAATTACATTAGCATCATAATCAGCTGACTGTCGCTTTTGTTGTGATCAGTATTTGTAATTCAGACTATGCGCCCAGAAATAAACCTATGTTTTCAAACAATCGAAAATCCAACATATAGAAAATAGCAGACCGGTTTACCGATAGAGTGCTATGTGACACTATGAAATGAGTTGTGAGGGTGGGTGTCCATTTTCTTGTTGCTATTTGCACGAAAACTGCGCTTGAAATATGTATTTCGATTCTTTCTCTTCTGCAGCAGTTCGTTCGTTCGTGAGATGACAAAGGCATCAAACATGATTTTCGAATTCGTACCAAATGAATTACTACTGAATCTGTTTATTTAAATACGTTCCCGATGTCGCTATTTTACGTATTTTTCTTCATCACAACAGATGATTTACTGATCTAATATTCCTCTATTTTCAAATTCATACTTTTGATCTGACAGTACTGTCGAAACATGAATTTGAAATCGTATCTGAACAACACTTTCCGTGGTTAAGTGAGAACATTACTTCATTCTGTCTCTGGGATTATAACGATCTTCTTCAACACATGGGTCATGCTCTATCTAATCATTCTCTTCACAACCAATGGATTCGTTTAAAGTCGTTCACATTACAGCATCTTCATGTGCGTCACACATCTGATAAATTATTTAGTAGCTTATCTTTTTTAACTGATTTAAATCTAATAGATAGCTTTCTCGGATATGAGGAAGCGGTCAATAGTCATCAGAAACAAGAAGGTGATCGTTTGCTCGATCCCTACCGACTTTCATTTTGGCTGATTGATTATCGATGGTTCGTTCGATGTCATTGCAACTTATCGGAAAAGGTTATGATTCGATTTTTCTACACGCTTTTCATTCTCATTATGAGCAATGTCTTTCATTTCAAATCAATAAATCAGAACGACGATCAGAGGTATCTATCGCATAATTCTATTCATGATCAGAATCATTCTATCATTGGTTGTTTCTTCAAATAAAAACAGCAAATTGAATCCTTGACTTGAATTTCGATTGGTCAAAAAGTCATTTATCGCTAACATGTACAATAACACGAAACCTAACCGATACAGACCAAATTCGCTTATAGATTCGTTAAAACTTCGTAATACCTCCTTTTTATTTTTACTTCATTAAATAACTAGCTTTCAAGATCTATTACATTTACATTTATTAACAGATAGATTTTACGGCGAATTTACTGATGCTCGAGTCCAATAAAATTGTATCTGATCAAGGTAGAGACCTGCTCTACCAGTGGCATAAGCTGCATAGTAACCATCAAATTGCTCCGTGTATAAATCACCATCAGTGCTTTCAATTGGTGCACTGATTCGTCCTTTTTCCGTAAACAATCGAATTCCACGAATAGCCGAAACGGAATATGTCTTGTCCGTTTCATAATATTCCGTTTTCTTACAGACGACTTGAACTTTCAGCACAACATCATCATCGTCCAGATAAAATTGTTCTGATATATCGTTTTCCGCATCGAACTTCTTCGAACCGTGCACATTACTTGGAAGAATAGGATCTGGACGGCCGATTGATGAATAATGAAACTGAAACCAATTCGAACCATGAAAATGACGTTGGCTACTCATCCCACGTAACCGATGAGAGCATGTAAAATTTTTGATTAATGAATCATCGAAATAACTACCGCCTTCGCCACAAAATCGAGTACCGATTCGAACAGGTAGATTATCTAGAAACTTGTTCAAATAACATCACAAATACTCATAATCTTTCGTTACATACTTCTTTCCTTTTCCAGCATTTCGATTTGCTCACTTAGAAATTGGATTGTTTCGTTCGTTTCATTGCCTCTTTCGATCGTTAAATTATTCATTCGATGAACATCATATTGAAGAGTATCAACTACATTCTTTCGGTTTACAAATAAACTTATGAAGACTATTGAATTGATGGCTAAAATTATTACAGAGACTATCAAACATATCTGACACAATGAAATGTTGGATAAAAAATTCAAGTATTTCGATCGCTGACATAATATCTGTTGATTGTTTATCTGCGTGGTGAAGATTGTCGGCGGTCCGACGTTCGTTTTTTTGTTAACGGTCATGTTGATGTTTATATTTTCTAAAGGAAGTTCATCTACAGCCGAGTTCAAATCGATCGCATTCGAATGTAAGATTCGCCCCTACCGTATTTTATTGCACAACGATCATCCTCTAGGTCATCTAATAGTTCGTTCATTGTTCCACTTGGCATCAGTGAAGATAATTTTTCGAACGTTGGCTTCTGATCGTTATGACACTTCGTTCGTTTCATATGATCTATTTGATATTTGAAATTGACACATCATTCGAACCAGTGAGATTGTCTTACTTTTTAGTACTTTCGCCGCGTCAAAACAACAGATTTGCTCTAAAGCATTGATCAGTAAAGTAAAATCTTGTTCGTTGATTTTATCTTGGTCAAACAGTGATTCTAATAAGCTGAGCGTCCCGCCGAGAGTTGGATCATCACGAATACGTCGCGGAACATCATTGCCGAAAAAGAAATGTAAACGTTTTCGGTCGTGGTCACTAAGACGATCTTGAAGCCTCAATAAGATACCACGAAATTCTTTATGCTCCATTATAGAACGAAGCAAACTATTTTTCGCTTTGTTTTATTAGAATGAAATGGACGAACGGCAAAAAGTGAATGAATTTCTTTTTCATTTTCGACGAGCAGCGGTCACACATGTGCATTAACATCAAATAATCGTCTTTCTTCCCTTCTTTCCCATCGATTCGATATCGATCATATGCATTAGAGAAGAGAAAGATGACGTCACGAGAAGATAGCATCGATAACGAAAGAAAAAGCAAAAGTGTTTTCTTTTCGCATGGTTATCAATTAAGCTCGGTTGATCTGCTGGAGTAACTTGATTTTCCTGTTTCCGAACGTACAAAGCACAAGATTTCACCAATCGTGGCACGCACTAATTTCAATGCGCTAACTAATCCACCAATCAAACCTGGAATGAATAATAGTGGTGTGTTAGTAAGAGTGTGATAGAATCCAATAGCAGACATACAGGAGGTTTTATAATCACATAGACAATCATCGAAACTTTCTGGCGCTAAGAGAACAGCATCGTTACATCCATGATAAAATTCAAAAGTAATTCAACAAGTAAAGCACTACTGTATGTCACGCGACGAACGGTTGGAATGGACACAAGGAAGTTATCGGCTGTTGAGGCGATAAATTCGGATATGAATGATTCCGCTTGAGACTAATTCACAAAAGGATTGAATTGTTTGAGAATAATGTAAACCACTGCACTGAAAATCATTACAACACATCGAAGTATGAACGATTCAATCATGATGTAAAGTGTAATTAATCGAAAGAATATTTTCATAACTGATGGAGATCTCTGTGCAAGGACATTTCAGATTATCGCCGTAATTCGTTGATAGTTTTAGATATTGTGTCACAGTTGGATTTTCCACAGGTACAAAAGTTGAATAATGTTGATTAGTGATGTGTAGAGGAGAAGAACAGTTAGTAATAATCGGGTTGAAATGATTTCATGGTGAGTTTCGAAGTCATCTGTGGTCGAAAGAAAACTTTCATTTTTCATAATTAATTTTCAGCTTTGTTTTGATCGATGGTTTCTAAAAAGGAAAAACGAAGAGAGATCTTCATATTCGTATCTATTTCTGTTACACCTTTATTTCGTCGAACAACAATAACCAATCATGGCGCGATCAGTTTCAGTTCAGTCACCAGACCATCCACTAAGCGAATGATTGCTCTAACGATGTAAAATCCTGGAACGGTAAATAATGTCGTATTTTTCGCTTGGTTGTTAAATCATATAATGACACTCTCGCTCAATCTTATGAAGTTGTAAAATTCCGTTTATAGAAAAAGTGAGAACTATATGAGGAGCGTTTTGTTGTATGACTGTGGTCGCCATTAAAGCAAGATGATGCTTTTTTAGTTTGTGAAAAACGTCAAGAGCCTCTGTTTCTTCCGTATACTTCGATTCAAGTTTCATTGCGATATTGAACACGTTAGAATATATTATATAACACAGAAGATCTATCATTCATGTATTAGTCTAGATGTCTTAACGGGTGTAAAATCAATTTACTATTTCCTAACGGAAATTGAGATTTTGCTTGAGCGAGGAGAACAATTCATACGAAGAGGCGATTTACGTCAAATTGTGGGAAAAGGAAAGTGGAAACAATCGCAGCAAAAAGTTTTCCAATTCGAAGATTGCTGTTGAACCTATTTTGTATGAGGAGAACTTTTTCTCGTAAACAGTATATTCTAAAAATATTTTAACAACGTTCAAATTTTCGCAACTGCCCTCTAATGTCAGGAATTACCAAGTAATATTACCATTATACATGTTGAGAAGAAATCGAGGATATTTGAAAAATTATTGTAGATTACCAGGGGGTATCGAAAATTGAAGCAGTGCTATTTTTGTAGGGATTTGATTTGTAGAAAAGTCAAAATTTAACCTTTACTTTCATTTCTCGCTTTGATCATATTATTACATCATTGCATTTCTAATATAATTCAAGATAATGGCTCGGGCGTCAGGATTCGTCCAGACTATGGAAAAAAAACAAACATCGTCGCCAGATCATGTGCATAAATCTTTTTGGTACAATACGGATTAATGAAGAAAATTTAGTTCGATTAATTTCGTCGAATACTCCTGTATCAGATTGATTTCGATATATCTGTCACTGTATGGCACAGTGAATTTCATCTTCACCTTCATCTCTGTTCTTTCATTCCAAGATACTTTGTTATAGTAATTTATCACCAACAAGAGTCAATCTGAGGAGTATAAGATTTTCAATTCAGTCTCTTTAATTTACTCATTTTGTAAAACAAACTAGCCCCATAGTTTTCGTTGAATAGTTTTTAATCCTTCCATATGTTTTTTGTATTTATTTTATTCACCTTTCTTTCGTATACACATTCTCTCGTTTACATATTGCTGGTTAGTATACCTTTGTTATCAGATTAAGAACACGAGTGTAAGTAAAAAACCCTGATGAGATGAGGAGCAATTCTCTTTTTACTTTCTAATCTATCACAAGACGTATTGTTTTTTTTTTATCTAAAAGGTCATTTAACGTTAACTACGATGAGTAGAGGAAGTACAATATCGACAGGCAGGCATCTAGAACAGGCCAATTATGATGAAGAAACAAATATAATCCAAAGTTTAAGTGAGTCAACTGAGCGATCACGACGTAGACAATCACAATCCTATTTCGCTAATCGTTCAATAAAGGTTATATGGCTTTGTTCTGCTATTACTCTGGGCATTATAGTGATTGTATTTGTTGGTTTGTTAGTTGCTTCTAGAGTGTACGAGAATATATATAGAGACACTGTCAAGAAACAAGGTAAAATGTCATTCTTTACAAAACTAAAATAAAACAACCTTGATTTTTTTTTCTAAACTAAAGTAGACCCATTAGCGAGATTAACTCGTAAGGAAAAGCTCAAAATTGATAATAATGACACAAGTAAATGTGAAAATGATTGGTCGAGTCAATCGTTTCTGGCAAATAGTTATGGAAATGCTCAGTCGAAAAATCTGCGCTCGTATTTACCCGATATCATTGGACATATAAATATTTTCATACGTCAACCAACACAAAATGGGCGACATCGAACTGCACAACGACTTCGTTTTCCAGCTGCACGATACACTACTCGAACGTTCCGTATGTCGACCATTCCATTAACTCCTTTTCTTGCAGTACAAAATAATATGTTTCACAGCTATCCTTGGTCCATTTACGAGCTTTCAAGTGACATTGCCATTATTCGTACATTCCTTGAGTGTGCAAACAATTATCTATGCGTCGGAAGAAGCCGGTAGATATCGAGATATTTGACAAAATATATTCCTCAACAATATGACTGTTTACAGTTTATCTGCTACCTCCACTTTTTAACAAATATGGCCAAATTTTCTCATTAGCAGAGCTTATCGCGCTGCAATACGCTGGATTAGAGGAACGAATGGTAAGTTATAACAGAATTAAAAAACAGACTGTTCAAAAATTTCGTGTCCTATGATTCTAGTGTCGAGAAACATCCTCGGTTAACTTGACGGCGTTGTTTCGTCCTGAAATCGGTATGTGCAGATGTTTTCTACAAAAATATTCATGTAATTTGTTCGTATCCTCTCGCACAGTTAGCGGTCCAAGTATTCCACAAATTGATTTAACAACCGGCTATTTTCAAGGTGGCATCGAAGTCAATTATCGTTGGCCATTGATTACAAAGTTTTCCGGAGTATCATCGTATATTAGTAAGACTGATTTCTTATCATCGGATTATCAATACGAAGTGTTTTCTTATCAGATATTACTTACAATAATGGCGATCATTACGAAGGATATATAAGAAACGGAATGATCAACGGTTATGGTATATACAATTATGCCGATGGTAGAAAATTTGTTGGTAATTTCATAAATGGTGCATCCAATGGTTTTGGTGAAATGCGCTGGACCGACAATACTCGGTACGAAGGTCATTGGGTGGATGACGTGATGCATGGCAATGGCACTTACTATTACTCTGATGGGCGAAAGTATGTTGGTCATTCAGTACATGACACGGCGGATGGATATGGTGAAATGTCCTGGCCTGGAGGTGATCGATATGAAGGGAGTTGGAAAAACGATACGATGCACGGCAATGGTACTTATTATTATACAGATGGTAGAACATATATAGGTCGTTATAAGAACGGTATCAAAAATGGATTCGGTGAAATGTCCTGGACAAATGGCGATCGTTTTATAGGATATTGGAAACGGGATGCAATGAATGGTAATGGTACTTATTATTA